ATTGTCAACGAATAACTATCTCGTAACTTTTATTTGGTGGAGGATGAAAGAAGTTTCTGTCAGTATAATAATGTCATTGTAATGGAAGAATGTTCATAGTCAGCGAGCAAATGAATTGCTTACAGCTCAGAAATCATATGAGTATAAATAACTGCATTCTTATTAAAATTGTTGAAGTGGTTACCACTTCTAAGAAAACTCTACATCTGGGCTTTTTTAGTTTTCTCAAGCACTGAAGCCATCGACAGCGTGTAGACAAAAGACTGCGACGAAGTCAGGCCATAAACAGTAGACAGGCGACGTTGGCTTCGGGGTTTTTCAGTTATTAGGTAACACAGCTAGCGTGCGGATCTGGACCAGCTCAAATTGTATTTTTACTTATTACACTCCTATTTAAATATATTTTCTACCTTACAATTTATCCACGTGTTTTCTCTGTTTACACACCGAATAACCTCAATAGGTTATGGGCCCAGGACTGTAAATTGCAAGGTAGCAACGTGAAGTGAATAAATTGTTAAAGTATTGTGCTTAGTAAAATAAGGGATAGTGCTAAAATGGAATCAGCGATAATAAGTGTAATAGAAGAAGGAGGTTTCTCAGTGTCGTTATACACTGTTTAGTTTGAATTGCATTCCAGCTGATATTCTTGGCCACAGTCACTTAGAATTCGATTAAAGTTCTAATAGAATGTAGACAGTAATTACAGACAACGCCGGTAGCTCCGTAAATCCATTTCGTTTGTTTAGCATTCGTATAGATATGTGACGGCACTCGACAGCGATACCGCCACTCGACACTAACTAATACCGAACAACGCTAGTGCAGTGGTTAGCGCCTTAGGTTACGAACGTGTTCGAGACTCGGGTTCGAATCCCGGTGCCCGTGGTCCGATTTTTCTTCCACGCATTAAAATTAGAAGAAACATACAGCAGTATCCCAGCAGGCGACATCTATAGCCAGCAGCTACAATTATCACGGACAACACTTATGCCTCAGATACTTTTGAATGTGATAGATACATTGAGAAAGTATCGTCAGCATCTGTATCAAGAATATCGAGATCATGTAATGAATCAAGAAGATGAAAATTATGTAACTGTCGATAAAGACGACGATACATCTTTCACCTTGGATATCAGTCCGTGTTTATCACAACATTTTAGACGTTCATATACTTTAAGTTTATGTACTACATGGTTTGATTACATGACGCCAATGTATGAAAAATATGACATATTGCTCTTAACTAACAACAACGTTATGTCCAAATGGAATGCATTACGGAAATGTATCGCACGTCCCAAGTTTGCCAAAATAATGCAAAATTCATTAAGATATACTTTGAACTTCCTTTGAATTTCCTTTGCGATCTCGTTGCAAATAATTTTTAAAATTCGTGTTAAACTTTAAACACTAACATAAAGGGCATTGAATTTAAATATATCGGAGAGTATCTACAACATCTACTACCACTAGTAAAGGTTTCAGATATCATCCAGGGAATAAAGGGACCACATCGTGGCATTGTGCTATGGGCTTTATGTTTAGAAAAAGTTAAAAACATTAATAAAAGGTAATGCAAGTACTGTACGCCATTAGTTAAAGGATTATTGAAAAGTATCTATACAAGATTGGAATCCCCTTTTTATTTTGCCACTATTGGGGGTAAGCAAACTGCAGCTATAGCGTTCTCGCTTTCACAATTCAAATCGCGATGGCTGAATTACATCGAAACGAGTCACCATCCAGAATTATATGCAGAACTTAAAACGGTTGTTACTGGCATGTATGTACAGATAAAGTAATTTTCTTATTATTATTACAATAACGTATGTAATAGTAATTTTTTACGCAACTTGTCTTCCCCTCTTTATGTTCGTTAGGCACCGTCAGAGGATATTGATTACGCAGATGATGACCTTTCCGATTTTAGATCATCACAATCTAAAACCTATAATTGAGTTTCTATTAATACAGAATTGGAAATCACAAAATGTTCTTCCGCGAAAGTGATGATTTGCATATATTAATGGATTACTCATTGATTCAATGATAAATTTACCAAAGAGTAGTGTTTGTTCGACCAATCGCGGGGAGACGTAGTCGCTAGGAGAGACGTCAACGGGAGTCGTAAATTCCCGTTACGATTATAACAATCGACACCACGACTTGATCGATCCCCTGATTTCCGTTGAGATAATAGGGGTGATTGAGTTTGTATAACACTGTGATTCACAGAATTATAAATTATATATTTCCAACACTTAGATTACACTGATGAGCATAGATAGATAGATAATCACTTATTGCACGAAGATAAGATAGATATGTACGTTAGAGCAGGGCTCTTATAATTAGATTTAATGTATTAGTGGACGTAGCACTATAAGATATTTAGGAGAGAAAATGTATGCTCGACAATACCGAGACCGACTCTCGCGTTATGCTTAGACTGCCCCGATGGGCATTAGCGGTAGACTTAGTAGTTGACTTTTCCAACTTTCCTAGAAGAAGTGAAGTTGAGTGACGATGCTGCGTCGGAGGAAAGCTAAGGATGGGTGTGTCTAGCGCACGGGACCATCGGATTTGTTGGTGAGGATTTTGGCTAAGAGAGTGAGGGAAATAGTCTTCGTTGTTAATTGGTTAAACAAAGGGTCTTAACCGCCCTCGAGAGAAAGTGGTTAGTGGGAGGAAAGTTGCAGCATACGTGAGAAAAACTAACTTTCCCTTGTCAAGCCGTGGTAGACAATAGTCTTTAGAAATTCTTCGGAAACAGACGTTTGTTTGGTTTGAAAGACCTCTACTAGGAAATTCCTGAGATTTATGGAAGATACTCGAGACTAGTGAGGGTACGCAGTGAGTATCCGAAGACATCTGGTTGCCATATTGCCCGCGGTGTGTTGCCTGGGCTAGGTAGAGGGTTACACGACGTAAGAAATTTGTTTACAAGTTTACGCAGCGTAGGAAATTCGCAAACGCACTGTGGTGGCCGGACTGTTCCCAGATAAATCGTAATAAAAATAGCCATATTCACATAAAAACCGCATATGCATTACGAATTTATGAGCTGTTAAGGGGGGGGGGTAAGGTTAAAAAATTTTTTTTGCATTTTTTTTATTTCTTTAATTGAATGCATAGCATCTTAAGAATATTGTGTCAAAATTTCAAGTCGATTGGAGCATAATTGACGAAGTTACGAGTATTTTTATACATGTCGGATGATATTACCTACTCCACCCGAGCGTGCTATTGTTACTTCGCAGACATTTTTTTCTCTATATAATACCTAATCTTACCCCCAGATCTATTTATAGTACTTAACGACTTAAGTGCAAATCTCTTTATACCTGTACTGTATATTTTGTCAGTGTAGAGTAAAAGATTTAGTGTAGAAGTAAATATTCCATTTTCATTAAGTTTTGTGTTAAATTATTACTAAAGTGCCTAAAAAAGTTACTAGATCTGATAGACAATCAACTGGTTCGAGATTATATCGACCTAGAAAAATTGTACCTCCGCATAAACGTAAATACGAAGGCACTTCAACAAATAGCGCGTCAGCTGAAAAAATTAAAGTGACTGTTGGAGATCAAATTACGAAAGATCATGAAAAATATTATAGGATAATTGATTTTTTATTAGTGTTTTCAACAATTGCTACGCTAGTGAAGAGGTAAACCGATAAAATTCGCTTATGAACGTTTTATACCAGATTATTTAGTGTTCAAAACTTTAAAGCATTTTCCCCACAACTCACGTTTTCAAAGTCGGCGCCCCCAATTACTTCAAAACTACTACACCAATGCTTTTAAAATTTTGAAAACTACTTCTCTACATAATTTGCGAGGTAACGCTATAGAGTTTTTTCAAATTCGTTAATTATTTTTATTTTAAAATGACAAATTAGCCGAAAATTTTCGCACAAAATCGCGTTTTTCCCTTCAAAGTGTTCCAAAAAAGTGAAAAATTGAAATTTCGAAAAAATCAATACAGCGTTACCTGGGCAAAACTGTTACCTAACAAATGAACTTTAACTTTTTGATTTCTGATGATCCAGCACCAAGCTCTGAGGGGCACCGCAATTATACTTTTTTCTGAGACACGTCCGAATAATTGCTGCCATTGCCGTATTTTTTAATATTTCGCCGTGAAAATTTTATACAATATTGTTCGAATGTCATACTTTAATGAACTGTTGGTTTTAGAAAATAAATTTTAACTGTATCGTCAGAAAATATTCACAAAGACATGCCTTTTTTTGTACGAATTAACCTTACCCCCCCCCCTTAATAAACGTGGCAATTCTTATATGAACAACATACAATTTCCGTACAAACCATTGATCACTGTACATTGCGATATTCACATACATACACATGAAATGAAAACCAATATGATATTTAAATTTAACTTAAATAAAAAACTATCTACTACTTATTATGTGAAATAATATTTTATCCAGCATGAATGTCACATCTAGTTTCTATTTCGTTGAATATATCATATATTTTAACGCCGACTGGTCAAGCAACTACGAGCAAACATGAGCAAACAACTTGAGAACCAAAGTGAGCCTTTAGAGCAAATGAAGCATTCTTAAAAAAGTTTTACTTTAGAACTATCTTATTTTAAAATATATTTATTTTCTATCATCATTGTTTATTGCTCAGTAGACTTTTCAATGATAAATTATTATTGTATATTATTGTCAACGAATAACTGTCTCGCAACTTTTGTTTGGTGGAGGATGATAGAGGATTTTGACATTATAATGTTGTTCTTATAATGCAAAAATGTTCATATTCAGTGAGCAGATGAATTGCTTACAGTTCTGAAATCATATGCGTATAAATAACTGCATTCTTATTAAAATGTTATAGAAAAAACAAGCAATGTCACAAATAGATTTATTTAGCAAGGAGACGAGTGAAGAGACAAAATGAAAAGGATGATGAATCCCTTCTCCAGAAAATTGTATTTATATTCCTTTGGTTTAATCAGAAGAAATTACGTTCAAATAGTATTACGTTCACGATACAGTGTATTATCAGTAGTAAGACCATTATACCGCATATTTTCGTAATCCGATGTATCCAGAACAGCCTGAAATAATCGAAAATATATGTATTTACATTAGTTCCTACTATTTTATGCGAAGATGCTTTTATACGCACCTTGACAATCGTTGTCGGGCTATTGAGTTAAAGTCTTCTTTCAAAATAAATTTCTTAATTCCCACCTGGTACATTGCAATATACTTCTCCCAATCCATATCCCGTAAATCCAGTTTCACCACATCGCTGTCGTTTAACATTTTTACTTTCCTCGCTAAGTCGGAACAATTATCTCTTTGGAAAGTCCATTCGTGCAAGATGAAGTATTGTAGCGATGTGAACAGCTTATTACCATTTTTGAGAAGTTTCATCCATCTGAAATACCATTTTTAGTTATTATTACAGATGAAGATATAAGCTATCCGAAAGATTGTTCTCGTTGTTCAAGGATTGGTAGAATACTCACATTGGTTTACTACCTCGAAGTCTTAAAAAGTTATCTATAACGAACGCAGGAAAAATATGCGGAATTACACTCCGAACGTTGTAAATATATCTATTAGCTATCATTGGACAACCCGGGTACCATAGCGTATCGTTCAGTGGCGTTTCTATGCAACATTTCACGATGGTATCTTTCATCTGACCCCATCTTGCGAATTGAAATAATTACATTGGTACAATTAATCGAATTACGCTTCAAGTAAAGTTAATTACTATCCGAGTATCTCAGGAAATATTATGCAATTAAATAAGTATTACATTACATCACTATCTTCCTAAATTAACGTATTGAGATCAAAATTGGACTTTCGTATTCTACGTTTGTGTGCACTTCCATTGTTCACGTTACTTAAATAAACTGAAACTTTTGGAATACTCTAACAATCGAATTACATTAATTGAAATATATTTGTAAGAAATATTACTTAAAAGGGTATGCGTTGCTGGTGCAGTTGTAAACTTTAACTTCATGATCACGATGTAGCGTAACATGCCATGCAGTACATATTATCGTGTCGACTACGAAATCGACAGGCACTACATCCAATAATCCAATCTTGCATCTCTCGTCCCCCGTATCGCTGTTGCACACCCTTTGCCGATTGGCAGAATGATACCTGGGTATTGAATTAATTTAGAAATTACTTGTGACTTTCGATTAGCAGAAATGCAATGCTAAATAGATAGAAATGAATTGTCCTAATAGTGAGCAACAGCAAATTTGAAATATAATAATGATAATCTGGTGGAGATCCTCTCATTGATCCTCTCACAAACAAATCAATTAACTCCAATTTTAGGAAATGTAAGGAGCATTGAAAAATTACTATCGGAAAAGATCTATGAAAATACTTGTTAATGCAGAAATATTCTCTATCCAACCAGGACATGGTTCTTCCAAAGAGGCGCCAATTATGCTTGGCCGCACTATCGCAACTGGCAGATCTCTGCACTTGCTTGCTACAATCTGCTCTGCTAAATTCTTACTGAATGTGTATGTGTTTGGATAAGTTTTTAAAATCTTTTTTTCTATTTCATTGATCGACGTGTTGTCTAATTTGTCACAGATGTCGATCACCTCCCAAGGCGTCAAACTCGTGCTGCAAAATTAATAGTAAGTGCACATATTCTTCACGCTATAATTAGAATTAAAATATTCATAAACCATGGAACAATGTTTGCGCGTAACTTATTCTTACGTATAAATCTTTTCTCCAATCTCAGGTAAATTCGCATTACTATAAGCTGTGCTGACGTAGACGAAGCTAATTGGATGCCTTACTTCGTTCCAAAGTTGGATCACACGAGCAGTACCTTTCGTATTCACATTAACAGCCACGTGTAACGGCTCATTGAATTTCACAGTGGCTGCGACGTGAAACACTATGTTCACTTTCTCTAACAACAGATTTCTATCTTCTCGCGAAAGACCTAAATCTGGCAGATTCACGTCACCTCTCACAGGATAAACTCTGTTGAAAAGTGCGGTGTTCTTTGCTTTAATAGCATCATATATCTGAAAACGAAAATTCCAGAAAAGAAAGTTAATCAATTTGGCTCCTGACAGCCTTAAATATTGAAAGGAACAAGAATATATTTACGAACGGGATCATCTATGAGCTTGTTAAATCGTTGTTCTATCGTTTTGTTAGTTTTAGAACGGATTAGTATAAAAATGGCAGCGATGCGTGGACATATGCGGATCAGTTTTTCCAGGAGACCTTTCCCAACGAAACCGGTTGCTCCAGTCACAAGGATTCCACTATCGGCGTAGAATTCCTCGAGAGAACTCGTCTCATTCGGTCCTTTATTGATACCATTTTCATTTGTTTCTTTACTGATTGTATCCATGTTTTAGGATCTTCACACTTGCAGTCCCTATATTTTCCATAGATTAACATTCCCAACAATTAGTAAGTGCAAAAATGTTCTAAATGATATAGAAAATTGGTTATAGTTGATACCACTTTGTGCATTACTTTGTAAAGAAGTCTACGGATAATCTTTACAAAGAGCAACATAATTTAGTAATTATGGTTTCGTCGAATGAAATAATTAAATAATGATAATAATTGAATCATTTTACTTTATGGTAGATTTTCACCGAAAAAGAGATATTCAACGCAATAAATGCAGCTTTTAATTTGGCTGTTCATTAATTTGCATTATTATCTATTGAAACGATACCTTTTTTAATCCTTCGAGTATTAGTTTAAACAATATTTATGTAGTTTCCTTTGCCTTTTTCATTTTTTATTTTAGGTGTGTATGTGAATATTCTAATATGCAGTGGTCAGTGATTTGTGTGGAAAATGTGTATGGTTTATGCGAAACAGTATTCGATTATATTTAGTAGCACCTGAAGAATGCTTGATGCGTATGTGATTTTTCTGTCCCCACGCGTGAACGCGTGCGTATTTGAAATCTGTATAAACATATTTTATATGTGCTCCGCATTGATTATTTATTTATGTGCCGTTATAGATTTCTATGAGTAGACGGGTTTAATCTGCAATTGATGATTTTTCTTAGAAAACGTTGCGCAGGTTAGTTTGCACCTCCGAACGTCATAGTCTTCTTCTTTACGATTCGCACGAGGTAAGCTGTTGCCCATCTATCGTGTGAAAAACAAAGCACAATTATCTTGTTCTCCATTTTCATCTTAGTTTATCTTCAAGAATGTGCTATATTTTTATATTATCATAATTGTGCATATTATATTGCATCACGTTCTACGTCTTCTAGTTTTGTAATTAGTTTTCTGCTTGATCTTTACAATACCAAGCTTTGTGCTTCAGAAATTGCTGTTTTTTTAGAAATTTGATACGTTAAATACTGTACACATATATATGTCGGAGATGAAAGAACACCGAAGCCCTCCCTTTGGAACTTCGGGAAAATCCCTTAACACCGTAATCTAGATTCTATCATAGGCATAATTAAAGAATTGTCGTCATTCAATCCCATTGTATTTGTTCGGGATTTGTGATATCGAGCTTGGGCTCGAGGCGACAGCCAGTCGCCGAACGTATCCAGTCGCCGAACGTATCCGCGGTCAAGGAATGAACGCTTTGTCTAACAAAGGTATGGGGTACCCTCATTAGAAGAAATATTTGTAGAGGTACTCGAAAGTAAACATTCCATCGGTTCTTTCGTGCAAAATGATTACCAGATGTCGATGCACCTACACAGTACAGGTTCAGCTAGCTTGAGGACTCGCTAGAAATCTTAGGATTTTGTTAATTAAGGTTCTTCAAACGGACAAGCAGTTTTTGTCCCAACTATGGGAAGATCGGAGAAATCTATTTTTGTTACGAACAATGCTTCCGCTAGCAACGTTCCCCCAAAGGCGGCTAGCATCCTTTTCTAGCCACCAACATGGAAATTGACCAATTAACAGCAACGTCAATTTCCCTCACGTTCCGAACGACTTTTCTTGACGAATCCGATGATCTCATGTCCTTAGACACACCCTATCATAGTTTTCCTCTGCAACATCATCGTGACGGAAAGTCATTCTCTCGTGAGGTTTCATTAGAGAGTTACGTCTTTACGCTCAGCGAATATTTTACGTTTTAACAAAGAGCTAGTTGTTGCGTCGCATGGAACATCTGCATTCCAGCCGACGCTGTCTAGCAGCCAGCGGCCCATCGTCAGCCTGCCAGACCCTCAATAAACTCAGGGACCCAACATAAAACGGCACTTTTGGCTGCACTGTTTCCACACGTTTGCCAGTCAACTATTGTCTAAAAGTATTTTCTGTTAGAGTTTGTAAGAGTTTCGGAGAAGTCCTTGAGTTTATTAGACTTTCAAAATTCACGGAGAAAGCGGGTAGTCGCCGAACGGAAAACCGAACACATGGCCACCAGACGCGACTGGTTTTCCCC